AACAATTAAATTCAATGATTCTCTCTTCTAAACCATCAACATGTATCTTAGACCCAATTCCAACTAAGCTGTTGAAGGAAGTTTTTCCATTAATTAGCACTTCTTTATTAAATATTATGAATATGTCTTTATTATCAGGCTATGTTCCACAATCATTCAAAGTAGCAGTGATAAAACCGCTTCTTAAAAAGCACAACCTCGATCCAGAGGTTTTAGCCAATTATAGACCTATTTCTAATCTTCCGTTCCTCTCAAAAATTCTTGAGAAAGCAGTCACAAAACAGCTGTGTGATCACTTAAAAAACAATGATTTATTTGAAGATGTTCAGTCTGGCTTTAGAACACATCATAGCACAGAGACAGCTCTGGTTAAAGTCACAAATGACATTCTAATAGCCTCTGACAAGGGACTTGTCTCTATTCTTGTTTTGCTCGATCTCAGTGCTGCATTTGATACTATCGATCATGATATCTTATTGCAAAGACTAGAGCACTTAGTTGGCATACAGGGAACTGCTTTAGGCTGGTTTAGGTCCTATCTATCTGAACGCTCTCAGTTTGTACGTGTCAACGATGAATCTTCCACGCAAACCAAAGTTAGCCATGGAGTGCCACAGGGCTCAGTGCTCGGACCTATTTTGTTCACATTATATATGCTTCCGTTAGGCAATATTATAAGGAATCATTCTGTAAATTTTCATTGTTATGCGGATGATACTCAACTATATTTATCAATCAAGCCTGATGAAATTAATCATCTAAATAAAATTCAAGACTGCCTCAAGGACTTAAAAACGTGGATGACCTTAAACTTTTTGATGTTAAACACGACCAAAACTGAAGTTATTGTACTTGGCCCGAAGAATCTAAGAAACAAATTATCTAAAGATATACTAACTATGGATGGCATTAATTTGGCCTCCAGTGAGACTGTAAGGAATCTTGGTGTTATATTTGATCAGGATTTATCCTTTAACGCCCACATAAAATCAATTTCAAGGACTGCCTACTTCCATCTACGTAACATTGCAAAAATCAGGTATATCTTGCCTCAAAACGATGCAGAGAAACTAGTCCATGCATTTGTTACTTCAAGGCTGGATTATTGTAACTCTTTATTATCAGGGTGTACCAAGAAGTCAGTCAAGTCGCTTCAGCAGATTCAAAATGCTGCAGCTCGTGTACTAACCAGAGTTAGGAAAAGGGACCACATTACTCCTGTTCTGGCTGCCTTACACTGGCTCCCTATAGAACACAGGATATAATTGAAAATTCTTCTTCTCACCTACAAAGCCCATAATGGGCAGGCGCCATCTTACCTTAAAGAACTCATTATATCCTACTGTCCTATTAGGGCATTGCGTTCCAAGAATGCAGGGTTGTTGGTTGATCCTAGAGTCTCTAAAAGTACAATGGGAGCCAGAGCCTTTTCTTATCAAGCTCCACATTTGTGGAATCAGCTTCCAGTTTGTGTTCGGGCGGCAGACACCCTATCCGTTTTTAAGAGTGCGCTTAAGACCTTCCTTTTTGATAAAGCTTATAGTTAGGGCTAATTAGATTCAGCCCCTAGTTTTGCTGATATAGGCTTAGTTTGTCGGAGGACATCTTACTTCTTCCTTCTCTCTGTCTGTCTATACCTGTGTACTCTCATGTTCCGATTAACCCAGCTTGCCCAAATTTCTTTCTTTTTGGTGTCTATATACGCTGGGATCCGGAGTCATGGATGATCCTGCGGTCCTGTGTCCTGCATCGCGAGCCCTGGATCTTGAGTCGTGGCTGTGGTCCTGGATCATAGGTGCTGGATGGATATCCTTGTGGATTCATCTTCCTATTATACACACATGCATTTCCAAATATTTGGACTACCTATGTTGCGAATGTATTATCTTTTCAATTTACACACAGCATCTATTGCACGTCTGTCCGTCCTGGGAGAGGGATCCCTCCTCTGTTGCTCTCCCTGAGGTTTCTCCCAATTCTCCCTTTAAAACTGTGGGTTTTCTCCGGAAGTTTTTCCTTGTACGATGTGAGGGTCTAAGGCAGGGGTGCCCAACCAGTCGATCGCGATCGACCGGTCGATCGTGGGGAGATTCCCAGTCGATCGCGAGATGTATCTAAAAATAGAACAACAATATTCTGTTTTATCGTTAATCTCCTATAACATAATCTTCCTGTGCCAGAATAATGCACTTGAACGCACCAAAGCTTTGTGATTGGCCGGTGTGACCACATGTGTGGGGGCGTGGCTGGTGGGCAGTGGGCACTATTTCGCTGACGTTGTCCGTGTCAACAGGAGTGACAGTCCGCACACACACAAGACCGCAATTATGGCAGAAGCAAAAAAGCCCAAAATATATAATTTTCACTCCGAGTGGGAGGATGATTATTTTTGTATCTATTCCAATTCAAAGTCCATCTGTCTCATCTGCAATACGAGCGTGGCTTTATCGAAGAAGGGTAATTTAGGAGCGGCATTTCAAAACAGTGCACAAACGCTACGAGACGGAATTCCCTCCTAATTCTGCCCTACGCTCCCAAAAGGGGAGGGGCCTGAAAGGACAGATAAATGCACAGCAGTCCATTTTCACCCGGCCCAACAACAAGAGCAAGGCTGCTACCATTGCATCTTATCGTGTCAGTCACGTTCTTGAGAAACACATGAAGTCTTTCAAAGACGGCGAAGTTGTGAAAGAAGCATTCCTGGAGGCTACCGACGCGCTTTTTGGGGACAGTAAAAATAACAGAAGCATTTCAACAGGTTTTTGATATAATAAAAACTCAAGTTAGATACCGTTATTAATCAGCTGTACGTTTTTGTTTGTTTGAACTTATTCATTATAATTATTGTACAAAATGGTATAAGAATGCAAATTTAAATTGATTATAGTCTATTATCAATTCAGGTTAAGAAACTAGTGTTACTTGCATCCTATTTTTTAAAGGCATTTCTTTTTATACTCTACTAAAATGCAACAAAAAAAGGGTTTGATTCTATTAATTTTGTATTTTTTATTGCACTTTGGCAGCAGATTCCTGTGTTGTTTTATTAGTAAGCCTAATTTATACTTTTGTAGCAAAACTATTGTTATATAATGGCAAAGAAAGGGTTCAGAGTCTTTTCTTTTATCCCTGTGTCATATGTGGCAGCACTGTTCAATGTTTCTTGAAAACATGACCCACTGTAGTGACGTGTGAATAAACTCCAACTCTGTATCAACAACACTGTTGTGTAACTTCAGTTAAATACTTGTATGTGTGTAGATTTGAAAGAGGTAAGATAAAGGATCTGCAGTATTTTATGGAGTATTAATCGTACAAAGGTCAGTTTTATACAAGTAGTAGTGTGTATTTACCTCGTAGTAGGCTGTCAGTAATGGCTACGCCTCTCTATTTGGACTGGTAGATCTCGGCAGACTGGCAACTTTGAAAGTAGCTCTCAGTTCAAAAAAGGTTGGGCACCCCTGGTCTAAGGACAGAGGGTGTCGTATTGTCATACTGATATTTTGTACAAACTATGAAGTCCACTGAGACAAATGTAACATTTGTGATATTGGGCTATATAAATAAACATTGATTGATTGATTGATTGATCTCAAACAACTTTTTTGTTTTATAAAATATAATTTTTTTCATATTATATTAACATGTACATTATATTACAGTAATATAAATAATTATTGACAAAATGCACAAAATAAATTACACTTGTTTGACTTAGATTTGAGGGCTTGAGCATGATGTAATTATGTTATCCATCACATTCGCTAACCTGTCTGTCTTTAAATTCTTTAAACAGCTAAGTCTGATGTGTTGGCTCCCTTGGTTTGCAGGGATCTGAAACATTTCTCACAGACAGGCCTCGTGGTGTCCGTAGGCTTGACCTCACTGTCAGAGATATAGCTGAAATACTTCCAAATTTCGCTTCTGGCGTCTTTTTTGTCAACAAGCCGAGGCGCAGCGGCAGCTGCACTCCCACTTGCAGCCATGCTTCTCGTTTTCTCACATGCTCTGGCAGCTAGCGCGTGGCCGCATGCACGAGAGAGGGGAGGGACTTAGAACGTGCTTGAGAGGGGAGGGACTGCAGGCACGGCTGCAGTGCAGGGAGTGGAAGCAGAGCGCTGAACACACACGGCTCTTATTAAAACGGCGCTTTCTCACCGGAGTACTTTTCCCCGTCATTCTTAAAGTACCGATACTAATGAAACGGAGGAATCGTACCGTTTTTAACGGCAGGGTATCGCGGTACCTTTCAAGTATCGGTACACCGTGCAACACCATTACAAATAATTTAAAAAAAGGTTTTTTTTGGGTGAGTGATGAATAAAGGCCTTTAACTAACAAATTCCTGTGAAGGATTCCCCATCAGAGTGTTATTACTAAATCTATAGAGAGGCGAAGTCACGCCCATCTACTTCCGACCCATGGGACCTTATTTCGGAAAAATTTTGTATTGTAGTCAATGGGGAGAGAAAACGTATCTTTCGATCCCGTTTGAATTGTGCCATGAATTACACATATGATGTTTGTCAATCTTAAAAAATCATTTCCATGTCAAAAAAAATCACAGTTTGTTGTAAAACTGTTGAAATATAAGACTATGAAAAATACGCAACTAGAAAGATTACAAATCCCAGAGTAAGTTAGTTAGTTAGTTAGCCTTGTAATTTGTATTAGCCTTAACATGAAGTAACATTAAGTAACCCAAAATGTTAAACAGTAAGAGTAGTAGTCATATTTCGTGAACCCACCGGTGTGATCATTCTATAATACACCGTTTAAGCCCGGATGCCCCCGGGGAGACATGCTAACGCTACATTAGGATCGGCGATCTTTTCTACTTCATGCTATCTGCACAAATAAATTGAATTTACCAAGAATACTAACCTTTATTATACTAATCTTAGAGGTTGCTTCCAGCCCACTTGTAGTGATGTTTATGACCCTTGTATGGAACCTTGTGAATGTGTGTTTGTGTGAATGAAGGTGTATGTGTGACGCACCTCGTCCAATGTTGATGAAGCCGATGATGATGATCATGCCCAGGGCCAGGAGCTTGGCTGCTGCAAAGAAGTCCTGCACTCTGGTAGCCGCCTTCACACTGTAGCAGTTTATAAAAGTCAGCAGGACTGCAAGAGAGGGAAAAAGACAGCGAGTCAGAAACACTGTAGGAAGCAGCTCTATGGTTGGTGGCTTCTACCATTAACCACATTCAATCCATCATGTTCAATCAATTCATCTGTGGAAAACTGTGCAGCAAACTTGTTTGTTTTTTTTATCGTGAAAACTAAGAACTATCTTTTCTTATTCTCTTAAACGGTGGTGCAAGAATAAGTCCTAAACCCAGAAATTAGTTGGCATTTCAGCACTTCTGGGTTTGTTCGTCTCAAAGTCAATGTTTTTTTAATGAGTTTCTGGGGAAATGCCTGAAATAAGGTAATTAACACAAGCTTAATAGTTTTTCACAATTTTTTCACCCCACTAGTGAATGTCCGAAACTTTTGCGCATCTTAAAAACAGCGGGTGCTAACAAGTGGCTAATTGAGACAATTAAACATCATCACACCAAACATTAGCCGCGTTTAGCTCAGCTGTGTTGGTGTGAAGTAATATCACCGTGATGTAGTTTGTTTATATCCTAACGCTAGCAACTTTCTTATTTATGTCTATTGAATTGACTCTCCTTAAATCATTAAAGTGGGGTTAATATGTAGAGATTATCATGCCTAATAAAACAACTAAGTAAAATAAACATGTGTTTACCACAGACCCTACATTTGTCTAGAATCTAAAGCCCAATGTAAAAATCGCATCGCTTTTTGTCAACGGAGCACTTGCAAAGCTAACTTCTTGGTCGGCCTACAAAAATTGGTCATCACTACACCACCCTATTAAAATAGCTTTTCACAATCTTTCCTTGAACCTTCTTTTTCCGCAAATATAAAGCAACGTAAGCCTCAACATGCTCTAAAGCAGTGATTCTCAAATGGGGGTACGCAGACCCCTAGGGGTACGTTGGAGTACTGCAGGGGGTACGTGAGATTTATTTTATGTTAATGAAAGAAAAACACATAATAATTAATGCATTTAAACAAACTACTAATAGTAGGTTAACTACTTTATTCAAAAGTTTACAGTAATTCTGGATAATATAATGCGAAATGTAAATGGGGTGCTCTCTTTTCCTCTCCCTCTCCTGACAGCCGGTCCGTCTCGTGCAGCTCGCTGAACCTGTAATAAGTGACCCGACAGTAAAGAATAAATATATTTATAACTAGTTTAGCTAGTTCCAGAGTGTATTTTGCTCCACTCACCGGTCCGTCACAGCGGCGGAGCTGTGACGGACCTGCTGCGTGTTCTCCGTCAGCAGCAGCTGATCTGATCTCTCTCTCTCTTGTCCGGTTATACTTCACTCGCGTCTATGTCCAAATCTATCAGATCTAGCTAGTTCTAGTTAATTATATGACTGCCTGCTTTTCAAAGAACCTAAACAATAAGCGTTGCTTGACAACGGCGTGTGGCCGCAAATGCATAATGTTTTTATGAGGCGTCAAAATCCCATGCTCATAAAATGCTAATTTTTTTTTTCTCTTCATTCCCCACGCCCCAAAATAAATAAATATACCAATTTTAGGGAAAGTAAGGAAGTTTGAGCAGTGTGGGTTTTATAATAACAGAGTTAAACATATTTCAAAACGCAAAGTATAATAACTGCAGTTTGCCTCCCTGTCAGAATGACAAAGATCCTCAGTGCCCATGAAGCCCATGAAGCCCACAAGCCCATGAAGTTTGCCATGAATTTAGTGATGGATTGTAAACATTTGAAATGTAGCATTTAAGTGTTTCTCAGTTACAAGGTTATTGTTTTAATAAATCAGACACTGATGGTGCAGCGCTGTACTGTACCTCTTTATATAGGCAAAACAAATTGTTTTTGCGCTGATCAGGGGGTACTTGGCTGCATTTTTTTTCAAAGGGGTACATTATTGAAAAAAGTTTGAGAACCACTGGTCTAAAGCATGCTGGGGCTGGAGGAGAATTCAAAGATTTAGAATTCTTGGTGGAATAAAATCCACCCCTCTTTCTTGTACCCACCATGTACAGAATTGGACACACACACACACACACACAACACACACACACACACACACACACACACACACACACACACACACACACACACACACACACACACACACACACACACACACACACACACACACACACACCCACACACACACACACACACACACACACACACACACACACACACACACACACAACACACACACACACACACACACACACACACACACACACACACACACACACACCACACACACACACACACACACACACACACACACACACACACAGACAGACACCACACACACACACACACACACACACACACACACACAACACACACACACACACACACACACACACACACACACACACACACACAACACACACACACACACACACACACACACACACACACACACACACACACACACACACACACACACACACACACACACACACACACACACACACACACACACACACACACACACACACAACACACTGAAGCAGCCCCATTTACTGGGCGCCATAAAAAGTGATTAACTAAAGCAGCAGGTCCCTTCAAAGCTCCTGAATCAGGTCGGGGGCCACAACAGAAAGACGAGGACAGAGCACAATGAGGCTCTGTGTTTGAAAAGAGACTGGGACAAAGTGAGAGCCTGAGTACAGTAAAGGGATGGACAGGCATTTCTTTATATGCATCCAGATTTACACAGGCATGCACACACACTCTGTGCTATCTATATATATATATCTATATATAGATATATATGTGCTTGTACATGTATGTACAAACATATGGCATATGTGCGAGCGGACCACAAGAAAACACACTGATCTCAATTACACCAGGCTTCCGACAGAAAACAGGTCAAATGGAACAATAACTCTCACCCAAAATAGAACCTATGGAAGCTGTAGATATATGTTGTGTGTGGAGATTTGGGTGACCCTTGACAACCCACACCGCCTACACTTCAGGCATGCACATGCACAACGAAGCGTGCAAGCCGCGAGTGAACACACAACACATCACACACACACCCACACACACAACACACCACACACACTACACACACACAGCACAACCACACACACAACACACACAACACACACACAACACACACACACACACAACACACAACACACACACCCACACACACAACACACTACACACACACCCACACACACACACACACACACACACACACCACACACAAACACACACACACACACACACCACACACACACACACACACACCTAACACACACACACACACACACACACACACACCAAACACACACAACACCACACACACACACACACACACCACAAAGATAATTGAGCCTCCGTCTACAGCTCTGTCATGTGTCTTAGTCAGGATTTAGCCTTTAGTCAATCTGAAGATTAGGTACTAGGGTTACTAGCAGGCACCCCATGCACTCACACACACATGTATATACACACACGCACAATGTCATGTGCGATCATGTATTCGGATAGAGATGCAGTGTGCAAGGGGAAAGAGGGGGTGTCTGTTGTGTGTGTGCGCCGACAGTCAAAAACAACCTGAGACTGGTGCTGATCAATTTAAACAGCAATAATCCAGGGTTAATCTTGTTAAGACTCCATCGAAATCAGGTTGAAAAACACTGACCATTTACTAGCATTTTAATTAAGCTCACAACTGAACTGCTACAAAAAATCTACCTACCCTAAAAACAGCAGCATAGTTTTGGTTTAAATTGGCTGCTTTGACTACATTATAAATGTTGTTTAGTTAAATTCTCATATGTACTGATTTGTGATAAGCTATTTTACACATAAAACCTAATTTTCATATTTGTTTCTGTTTTATCTTAATGTAGTTATCCTGAAATATAAAGCAGAGAACAATAGGCGCTTTCACACCGGAGTACTTTTCCCAGTATAGTTCCGATAGTTCTTGAAATGTTGCGTTCACACCAAAAAAATCCGGAACTACTTAGTTCATGACAACCTTTTCACCCCCTTTTTAGTCCCTGCTAGAGAGAAGAGAAAAAGGTTCCCATTTTTGATTGGCTGGGCGGATTGCAGACTCAGAAAAGTTTTGTGAAGCCGCCATTGTATAGCAATAGCATTAGGCCAGCGCACCAACGGCAAACACAAAAAAAAACATGGGAGCGGTGGAGATGAGGAGGTGTCGGCGTTCTGGCGATTTACTCGGAAGGCTTCAGTAGAAGCTGCTGGGAGTCCCAGCAGCTTCTACTGAAGCAAGTCCCCAACTCCGGGGACTTCCAGCCGGGGACTTTGGGTGGCAGTATACGCAGAACTAAAGAGTTCTGATTAACTAAGTACTGGGAACTAAGTACGGCAAAGTACTTGGTGTGAAAGCGCCTATTGTTATATGAGCATTTAGTAGCCTAAAATGTGTGTCTCAGGTAATAAATCTAATTACCCCATGAATATAAGAAATTAAATTATTAATAGGGATGCTCCGAGAGCCGATCGCATGACGTAAAATACATGATACTTTTCTCTGTGCGCAGCAAAACAAGCTCGCCAAAATGGCTTCACCGGTCTGGCATTATTTTAAGGTGTCCGAAAAAGAGAGTAAAATGTAAAGTGTGTGAAGCAGAAATCCTGCAGCTCCGCCGCTGTGAGCGGAGCGAAACACACAAGAGTTAGACCTAACACACTTAGCTATGTTATCTACCTCTGGAACAAGCTAAACTAGTTATACATATATTTATTCTTCACTCATTACTGGATCAGTGAGCTGCATGAGATACTGACAGGCTGTCAGGAGAGAGAGGGGGAGAGAGAGGGGGAGAGAGTAAAAGAGAGTGCTTCTGCTCATTTCTGCCGTGTTATTATCCAAAGTTAATGTAAATTTGAATAATGTACATCATTTGAATGTAATAATTAAGTTGATTGTTGTTTGTGGAGTTTTAAACATCACTTTAAATGGAAGATTTAAAGTAAATCTGCCATTTAGGCCCCGCCCACTCGATCGGATCGGCGATCGGCCGATACTGATTCCGGCCCCAAAATTGGCGATCAGAGCATCCCTAATTATTAATTAGATTTTTCACTTTGAATTTGAAGATTTTACCAATTAAACCTCTGTGTGTGTGCCTATCAAATTCACTTTTGTAATTTTGTTCATATTATAATACATTTAATTTCAAAACCTTTCCACTTTATGTTCTGTAATATTAAGAAACAAATCTGTTTTGAAAGTGAAAAAGAGATAAATAAAATAATTATAATAAAACGATAAAGTATAATATCACAAATTATAAATAACTAACTGAGAACATATGGGCATAACTTAATGAGACAAGTATCTAGTGATGATAGCTGATGAAATAACGCGGCATTGTTACCACTGTTGGCCTTCCATACCTGTGGCATTGTTTGGACATTGGCTCTGGCATCACCCGTGGAGCGTGAAATAACGCAAAGATGTTGCTGATGTAAACTATGTGAGAATTGTAGCAGTAGGTTATTAAATATGTCTGTATTAATATGTCCTGCAAAAATAAAACACAGGAAGTGTAACTCATGTGTTTTGTTTAGGCTGCCCACATCAATCACGTAAAGTTGCATCATCCCGTGGAGCATGGCTCGCATACTCACGGATGCAGAGGCAGGCCAACAGCTTGGCCCCGTTCTCCGGCACCGGGCACTCGGGGAACATAGGCTTCAGCAGGTAGGTGGCGAAAACGTAGGCGACGATGTACTGCGAGGACGGCCGAATGATGAGCAACTCGATCCAAAGTTTGAGGAAAGCCGGCAGGGAGCCGTACACCTCCAGGATGTAGGCATAGTCCCCTCCGGATTTACTGATGGTGGTCCCCAGCTCCGCGTAGCAGAGGGCTCCGACAGTGGAGAACACCCCGCAAACCGCCCACACTACCAGGGACAGACCCACCGAGCCGGCCTCCTTCACCACGCCGGTTGGGGTGACGAAGATGCCCGAGCCTATGATGGTGCCCACGATGAGAGCCACACCGTTATACAGGGTGATGGTCCTCTTCAGGGCGACCCCTCCCTCCGCTCTCTCTCCTCCCTCTCCTCCGGCGGTGTGGTTGGGGCTGCTAGGCTCACTTCCCGGTGCTCCTCCCCGGTTCGACTCTCCCGTCTCCCCGCCCGTAGACAGCATCTTTTCCGTGACCTGCTTGTCGTCCTCCTCCTTGTCCGCAGAGGAGTTCGAGTTTCTCTTTTTTAACCCCGACATCTTCAGCTGAGTTTCCTCTTTCTTGTTCTTGACTTGGTTGACACAAAGATTCCCGCTTTCCCGACTCTCGGTGTGTCGCAGGTCTCTTCTTCCTCTCTCTGTCGGTCGGGTGTGCAGTGTGATGCCGGCCGGGCTCAACCACGAGGAGTCCGCGGGTCTGCTAGTCTGACTCAGAGCAGCGTGCTTTCACGCTACTATGTCTGGGTACAAAGACAGGCACGCTGGCCCTCCTCCGTCAAGGCCAGCCCCTGCTTGGCGTGTACTTCTCATCAGAGCCCTCATCACTTCGTGGCTTTACCGCCTCCTTGCGGCTTAAAGCGGTACTACCCCTCACTAAATACCTAATCCCACAACTCCTGTCTGATTTGGATTTGAGGGACCCGTCCCTGTTAGGTATACTTTGGTGTTATCTCTACATAAAACAACAAAGAAGCACCAGCAATAATACAGTAGCGAGAGTAATTTAACACTAAGGGTTCATTTCAATTGTTCCTGTCAGACAGTCAAACCAGCTGAACTGGTTTCATTCATACTCTCTGAGGGAGAGAGAACATATCTGGCCCAATCCCCCTCCGAGAAAGATTTCATTTGCATTCCACCTAGATTCTAATCTTGGTTGAATATACAAATGTTGAAAGTGGGATACCAGCTTTTTATTGTGGCAACATTTTTTCTTTTTTGAGGACGCTTTAGTTCAATGTGTTGGCATATTAGAGTCATGGGACAGAACAACTTTGTTTCACTCAAATAATCAGAACTCAGTGTATGTAGGTACTACTAAAATGTTAACATTTTACATTTAAAATGCATATTAGACATTATCAAATGCAAGATGTTGGTGAGTAAAAGGAGAAATCTACAATCAGATCAAGATGTACTTCCTGTAAAACTGTGCTGAGTGGTTTTGAGCACGAAACGGTGTGAAAGGATAGAGGGTGTCGTTTTCTCATACTGATATTCTGCACAAACTGTGCTGTTGTATTTGCTGTAAAGTGTCTTTACTGTAGGTTATTTTCTATTATATGTAGCCTACAGCACTTTGGCTCGACCAAAAATCGTTTAAAAATGTGCAAATAAAACTTGATTTCATTTGATCATGGTGATGAGGAAAAGCTGTTTAAAGAGATATACGGGGAAGCGTTTCAGTTTGTATGTAAAAATGATCCCAGGCCATATTCAAACACACATATCATTGCATGGTAAATCAATGAAGCTCCACCAACTACATTCTATAGATTCTCTTCAGCGATTATACATCAGAGCAGAAGGCATCTGGGACAGGAGTGGCTGGATATAGGGCGAGGCTTCGAGTGTGTGGTTAGAGCGTGGCCTTGCATAGTGTCAGAGTTTTACATTGTACACGTGGTGGTGATGCAAGACAGTGTTCTTTACGAGTTTAAAGTGACAGACACACACACACCACATTATGCAGCTGCTATTCAACTCTGATAGTTGACTCAAACCATCTTAATGCCAATCTAACATACACACACACCCTGTGCCACATTGTGGTTGAAACTCAAAGTACTGTTGTTTCTTTCCTGTCACAAAAAAAACATTGTCTTATGAACCCTTTTTTACCAATGTGATGAAAAAAAAGTTCCTCAGTTAGTCATTTTAATGTCAAACTTTATCCAAATAATGACTAACTCTTGCAATATAATGACAAATGTTCACAAAATTGTGTCTTATTATATAGTATGTTTGAGCTACTTACTCTGTATTTTTGATAAAAACGTATAGTTTGAAATACTAACTCATTTATTTTTAAAGGAGCTCTATTCTGCTAATTTCCAGGTTCATATGTAGTGTCTCCATGTGACATGTTTCCATGCTTTAATGTTCAAAAGCTCTTTATTTTTCTCATACTGCCTGTGCTGCAGCACCTCTTTTCACCCTCTGTCTGAAACCAGAGCCCAGTCTGCTCTGATTGGTTAGCTGGCCGGCTCGGTTGTGATTGGTCCACAACTTAGAGGTGTCCTGCCCATAAGCCTATCACGTACAATGTGTTTGATTTCTAGCCAATAGAAGAGTAGTTGTTATGGGAGTAAACAATGGAGTCCATTACATTACATGACATGTTACTTGTTAGACGCTTTTATCCAAAGCGACTTACATACTCAGTACTGTGGACAATCCCCACAGAAGCAATTTGGGGAGAAGTGTCTCAGGGACACAACGACATGCTGACTGCAGTGGGACTCAAACTTGCTATCCTTTTATTCTAAGATCAGCGCATTAATCCACTGCGCCACACGCCTCCCTTGAAACTTTTGGATTTTAGGCTTTGCAGACTATTTACATGCACAAAAACCTAAATATGTAGTAAATATACTGTATATGTGATGCATACTGTATACTGTATCACACTACAGGAAAGGGAAAATCCCATATAGGCGTTCTTTAAGTCACTAAATCAGTATTTAAAGATAAGTTACTGATTGTTTTGAGAGTGTTCCCCTCAGCCTTTTTGGCTAATTGAAATGTCACTGAACATTTGTTGTAGCCAGCAAACCAAACAAGCATGGCCAACAACAGGTTGCAAGAAGAAAAGGAAATTGTATTGACAACCGTTGTGTAGGGGGTAAATAAGCGTCGACCAATCAGAGGGTTGGATCACAGTCCCTGCAGTCTACATTTCAAAGTGTCCTTGGGCCAGACACTTAACGCCAAACTGCTCCCTGTAGGCATGTCTACAGTATTGAAGTGCATGTAAGACGCTTTGGCGAGAAGTGTTTGCTTTATATATCAGTATGTATTCAAGGATGCATTTATAATGTAATGTTGGTATGGCTACCACACCAACAGCTGGAAATGATGAGTGGACATTATGTTGTAACACATTCTGGAATACTATGTGTATTTCTTTTATTCAGAGTTTGTCTTACATAAGACTTTATATTTCACAAACATGTTTTTTCCTTATGATGGAAATGTTTTTTCTTCAAGCTTTAGGTTTTTTTCCACTGCAGATTTAGAAGTTCTCAACTATTTCTTACTGAACTGCAGAAAGTAGCCTTTTGTGTATACTCATAATTTTTGAGAAAATTGCTACTTATTTTGAGACACTGTCATTTTTATGACATACTTGGTTATCATTTTGAGACACAAATGCAATATTTTAAATATTAACTCAGTATGTGAAAATAAGTTATTCATTATTTGAAGAAAGTTGCTCATTATTTTGAGAAACTATGTCATTCTTTGGTTAATTTTGGGATACTAACTTATTATTTTGAAATACAACAGTAAGTCATTCCTTTGCTATATTAAATCATTATTTTGAAATTCTAAATCATTATTTGGCGATACTAACCATATGCTCTACTCTACTTTTTTGGGGATATTATGGAATTATTTTGAGATATAAATCATTATTTTAGGTTCATAATCATTATTTTGATCAATCTTTATTTTCATAGAGATGTTATTTTTCAAATACAAATAATTTTTGTGATAAACATAATCATAATTGCATTAGCGTTTCTTGTTATAATAGCCTCCATACATATCTCAGTGGAATTTGACTATGAAAGCCCCTCTGTGAGACAAACACACAGGTCTGAGCTGCGTTCTTAATACTTCTTAAACACACACACACACACACACACACACACACACACACACACACACACACACACACACACACACACACACAGAGGACACACAGAGGACACAGACAGACAGACAATTTCCTTTGTTCAGACGAGGTGCACAAGGTCAACATGTATTGGCCAAATTCAGCCTGAAGCAGCATCTTCAAATCGTCTTTATTCATTTACAGAAAGCCTGAAGAATTCAGGACCATCTCAGGTCCACTCACAGATCAAGAGACACAAATATCCCATAATCCATGTCTGTCGTGTGCTCCCTGGATCGTCTGTCTGTGTCTGTCTGTCCAACAGTTATAGGCCCCCAAGAAACAAGGTAATACAAGAAGGAGCTTTTCTTTTGGCCCATGTCTTGGATGCTGAGTTTGTAACGTGCATTCTTTGGGACATGAGTGCATAGAGATAGAGAGATGAAAGTCCCCCGGTAGTCTAAGCCTCTTGCAGCATAACTATGGGCTGGTTCAAGTCTAGCCTTAGCAAGCCCTAACTATAAGCTTTATCAAAGTCTAATACTAACAAACGAGGGAATGCAAATCTAATATTAACAATCAATCAAATCCATCTTTGATTGAGATATTCTTCTGCGCAGTTACCAGTTCTGGGGCTCAGAACCACAGACAGCGTCAGCAACTATTGAGAGCGTTTACTTTATTAAATATTCCTTATTCTCATTGAAAAAATATAAATTTACATCAAAAAGATATCAGCAACTTACTGTTTGCTATTTTTTAGGACAAAGGGACAAATTCCCCCTCATGCTCTTTTTTGTCAAATACACCCAAGTTTAGACAGAAAATGATCATTAATCATCTTCATTAAACAGGATATTTTTGGCAAAGCATATTTTTAACGTTCTTTACGATTAATTGATCAATATATTTTGCATTCATGTGTGCAAGCATGGGCATTAACAGGCTTCTATGTTGGTATTGTTAGCTGGAAATGATGAGCAGGAATTATGTTGTAAGACATGCTGCAATGCTCTTAGACCAGGGGTGTCAAACTCAAATACACAGAGGGCCAAAATAAAAAAATCGGTAGTCTTTGGAGATTTTTACTATTGTAAACAGGTGTGAACAACTCAGGTATTTACACTTTATCTTAAACGTAACTGCAGAAGGTGTTCTGTTTTGTGTCATACAATAATCAGCAGGTTTCCCACAGGCACATTCACAATGGAAGCACAGTCTAGAGGCTGAGGCTGGGTGTCAGTGCTACTATTGTCTGATAATAAATATAACAATGACTTATACAATTCTTCACATGGGACTTTCTTACAAGCAAATATGAAAGGGTAAACGGTTCGGTAAACAAAGCTGTGACTCTGTGGAGTGGGCGTGGGAGAGCTCCTTTATTTGTTGCAGCTGTAGTAACATCCACTCCGTTTCCCCCTTCTCTCCCAGGGAATCTGGATGTAGGCTGACCCCTGAAGTCATCAAAAGCACACACATGTAAACAACCTTCCCCAACACAACATTTGGCAATAGCGCCAGAACTGTGTAGTACTGCTTAATATATCTTCTGATGTTTGTGGAAAGCCTGAGAGATGCATAGGTGGAAAGAGTAGCATTTTTTAGGCTACACGTGTCAGAGAGAATAAAGCTTTTGCCTTTTAAGTTTAACATGCTT